TGTGGCTAAGCTTGGGTATGTTCCATCTTCTTTTGTTTGTTTCGAATCTAATATGTCAGAAGTTAATACTAATTCTTGGTGGGTTGACTCTGGTTCAACAATCCACATTGCAAACTCTTTGCAGGATTTGACAAAATTGAGACAGCCAACGGGAACTGAGTGTAGCATCTTCTCTGGAAACAAGATTGCGTCACCAGTCGAAGCTGTCGAAGTTTGCAATTTAGGTTTGGACAATGGTTTTGTATTGACATTAGAAAAGACATTTTATGTTCCTAGTTTTTCTAGGAACTTAGTTTCAGTATCTAGACTTGTACCCTTCAGATATTCTTTTGAATTTAATACCAATAATATCAAGTTATTTCATTATTATACTTGTGTTGGTACTGGTACATTGTCTAATGGTCTTTTCCGTCTTAAATTAAAGAATGATTCAGTTTACAATTCTTTACATGTTCAAAACGGCACCAAACGGTGTAGTATTAACGACAATTCCTCAATGTTGTGGCATCGGAGATTAGGTCATATCTCCCTTGAGCGTATTAAAAGGTTAGTAAAGGATGGAGTACTTTCTACTCTAGACTATACTGACTTTGAGACTTGCGTTGACTGCATTAAGGGTAAGCAGACAAACAAATCAAAGAAAGGTGCCAATAGAAGTTCAACGTTGTTGGAAATTATTGATACTGACATATGTTGTCCTGATATGACAATACCTGGTCAGAAATATTTCATCACCTTTATTGATGACTTCTCAAGTTTTTCCTATGTGTATTTACTTCATCATAAACATGAAGCATTGGACGCCTTTAAATCTTTTAAAGCTGAAGTTGAAATCCAATGTAACAAGAAAATACACATAGTTAGGTCCGATAGGGGTGGTGAATACTATGGTAGATATACTGAGAATGGACAAGCGCGTGGTCCCTTTGCTAAGTTTCTTCAAGAACATGGGATTGTTGCCCAATACACCATGCCTGGTCTTCCGGACCAAAATGGTGTAGCTGAAAGAAGAAACCGGACCCTTCTGGATATGGTGCGGAGTATGCTTAGCAACTCTAAGCTTCCGAAGTCGTTGTGGGATGAAGCACTTAAGATGGCAACGTATATATTAAACCGTGTTACAACCAAGGCTGTCCCTAAGACACCCTTTGAGTTATTCAAAGGTTGGAAACCGAGTTTGCAACATATGCGTGTTTAGGGATGTCCGTCTAAGGTGAGGATATATAACCCACACGAGAAGAAACTTGACACAAGGACGATTAGTGCTTTCTTTATTGGATATGCACAATCTTCTAAGGGGTTCTATTGTCCATCTCATACTACTAGGATAGTGGAATCAAGGAATGCTAAATTTCTTGAAGATGACTTGATTAGTGGGAGTGATAGGTTTAAGGACTTAGTTCCTTCCTTCGATCATATTGACTCGCAACCTTCTACGTCATCTGGTGGGGTTGTACTTATTCGCAGTGCTCCTTTAGTTCTGCCTGTAGATATACCACCTACCGTTGAGATTCCACAAACTGTTGAGGATCAGCCTTTGGAAGAACCAATTCAGGACTTACAGCAACCGCCTGAACTAGATTTCGAACCAATGGTTGAACCAACTCAGGATATACAGCAAGATTCTGAGCCGATGCAGACTGAACCAATTCAAGAACTGCCACCAGTTCCTGAAGAGGTAGTTGATCCGCAGCCTGTGCAAGGCGGTGGGGGTCAACCTTAAGACGGTCTACTCGGATAAGGCAATCAGCAGTTCCTAGTTATTATGTTTCGTATCTACAAGAATTTGACATAGGGGTAGAAAATTATCCTAAAACATTCTCTCGAGCCACAAATTGTGCACAGTCTGACTTATGGTTGGAAGCCATGAAAGATGAAATGAATTCCGTGAAGGACAATGGAGTTTGGGATCTTGTTGAGTTGCCTAATGGGGCCAAGGCCGTTTGTTGTAAATGGGTCTTTAAGGCTAAAAGAAACTCATTAGGCAACATTAAGAGATACAAGGCCCGGCTTGTTGCCAAGGGATTTACTCAAAAAGAAGGAATCGATTACAAGGAGACCTTTTCTCCTGTATCAAAGAAAGATTCACTTCGAGTTATTCTGGCATTAGTTGCACATTTCAATCTTGAGTTGTAACAAATTGATGTGAAAATCGCTTTCCTAAATGGTGATCTAGAAGAGGAGGTTTATATGAAACAACCTGAAGGTTTCTCTTCTAGGGGTGGTGAGCATTTAGTATGTAAGCTTAAGAAATCCATATACGGTTTAAAACAAGCCTCCCGTCAATGGTATATCAAATTCGATGGGGTAATTTCTTCATTTGGTTTTGTTAAAAATCCCTCAGATAACTGTAGATACCAGAAGGTGAGTGGGAGTAAAATTTGTTTCCTTGTTTTATATGTGGATGACATCTTACTTGCCACCAATGATAAGGGGATGCTTTGTGATGTGAAACAATTTCTTTCTAAAGAACTTTGATAAGAAGGATATGGGTGATGCCTCTTATGTTATTGGCATTAAAATTCAGAGAGATAGGTCCCGGGGTATACTGGGTTTATCTCAAGAAACCTATATAAACAAAGTTTTAGAGAGATTTCATATGCAAAATTGTTCACCAAACGATGCTCCCATATCTAATGGGGATAAATTCATTTTGGACCAATGTCCGGAAAATGACTTGGAGAAAGAATCTGTGGAGAACATCCCTTGTTGGATGTCTTGGATATATTCAAGTCTGTACAAGGCCGAACATTGCTCTTGCGGTTGGAATGCTTGGGCGTTACCAAAACAATTTGGGGTTAGACTATTGGAGAGCTGTAAAGAGGGTTCTAAGGTATCTCAGATGAACCAAAAGTTACAAGCTTGGGTTTATATAGACGGACAATTTAGATGTTGTCAGTTATTCAGACGCGGACTTCGCTGGCTGTGTTGATTCTCGAAATCAACTTCAGGGTGCGTCTTTATTATGGCCAGTGAGGCTATCTCATGGAGAAGTGTTAAACAGTCCTTAATAGCTACTTCTACCATGGAAGCTGAGTTCATTTCCAGTTTCGAGGCAACTTCATAGGGTGTTTGGCTAAAGAATTTTATCACTGGGCTTAGAATTATGGATTCTATATCTAAGCCATTGAAAGTCTATTGTGACAACTCAGCTGCAGTCTTCCTAGCTAAGACCACAAAAGTGGGAGTCGAATTAAGCACATCGACATCAAGTTCTTAGCAATTAGGAATCGTGTCGAAAATAAAGTTATATTCTTTGAACACATTCATACTGAGTTGGTGTTAGCAGATCCCTTGACTAAATGCATGCCTTCAGTTAAATTCAAGGATCTGGTTCAGAAAATGGGACTTTTCACACTATGGAATTTGTATATACATTCAGTTTCAATAAAATTCTTTGGCATTCAGACATTTTCTCAATTAAGTGTGTACACCTTCATTTACTTTATATTGATGAGAAAATGTACTTCAGGGACTTGGAATAAACATAGGGTTTATTTCGTTGGGTTTTGTTTCCTAATTAAGTGCTCAATGGCAGTTTGCATTTGATCATAATGGATACTACTCGTGCTAATGAGAACATATCATTATGGTTGGTGTATTTCTGTTATTGAGTGGTAGTGCTTGCACCAAGTGGGAGAATGTAACGTTTATCCGTTACTATTATTATAACATTAGGATAAGTTATGATAATATTCAGTATTTGATATGTGGTGCAACACTAATAACCTAATAGCTAGACTACCATTATGATTAGGAGTCTAGTTAGGATATAGGAGACCTAAAGACAATCAACCACAATGATGGCCAGTGGTTATATAACGTCACTAGTCCTCTCACTGCTCACATTACATACCTCATACACCATCTAGAGAGAGCTGAGTAAAGTGAGAGACAAAATACTCGTTATCTCTGCAGCAGTCCGGATCGCTCAACCGTATCAAGAACTATGGCTGGAGGTTAGTCGATCCTATTATCACATATTATAGTGATGCATGTGATATTTTAGTCTAACAATACACACATATATATGTATATATATATGTGTATATATATATATATACATATATATGTGTGTATATATATATATATATATATACACACACACACACACACACACACACACACACATATATATATACATGTGCACTTTAGTGCCTCAGGGTGTGCCGTTCCACTCATCTGCCGGCTTGCGTAACAGAATTCAGCAGTCCAAATTCAATTTAATTCAACATTTGGATGACGAACACCGTAATGGGGTTTCAGTGGAATTACTTTCGTTGTTGTTTGTTGCCGCCATTGTCTCCGGTGAGTTTCTTTGTCGTTTCACGTAGTTTGCCGGTGTTGGATGCAGTGTCCGTAATTCGCAGGCAACGGTCGTGAGCAGTGCTGGAGTGGATGTGGAGATCGTTGAAATAGAGTCCCAATGTGTTGTTGAATTAGAGTCCCAGTGAATTCCTTCTTGTTGGCCTAAATTCTAGGGATCTAATCAATTTTATTATTTAGGTCAAAATTATTAGGGGGCTAAAATTACTCTTAAAACCTTTTGAATCTTTTATATTGATGATTAATTGACTTAGATCCAATGGTTGGGATGGGTTCTTATGTTCTTAAAACCTTTTGAATCTTATGTTCTTAATTGACTTAGATCCAATGGGTGGCCTTCAAGTAGGAACCACTCAATAGGTGAGAACATAAGAACCCATCCCAACCATTGGATCTAAGTCAATTAATCATCAATATAAAAGATTCAAAAGGTTTAAAGAGTAATTTTAGCCCCCTAATAATTTTGACCTAAATAATAAAATTGATTAGATCCCTAGAATTTAGGCCAACAAGAAGGAATTCACTGGGACTCTAATTCAACAACACATTGGGACTCTATTTCAACGATCTCCACATCCACTCCAGCACTGCTCACGACCGTTGCCTGCGAATTACGGACACTGCATCCAACACCGGCAAACTACGTGAAACGACAAAGAAACTCACCGGAGACAATGGCGGCAACAAACAACAACGAAAGTAATTCCACTGAAACCCCATTACGGTGTTCGTCATCCAAATGTTGAATTAAATTGAATTTGGACTGCTGAATTCTGTTACGCAAGCCGGCAGATGAGTGGAACGGCACACCCTGAGGCACTAAAGTGCACAGACGGAAACCGCCACCCCCTGCTGTGTGCCGGCTAATTTTAATGTACAATCCCGGAGCATTGTATGTACCCTATGCTCGTAATTACTGAGTAGCATGTGTGCACATATGTGCTAAGATACGTGCCAATTAGGGATGAAACCCAAATCTATGATCCCGATGCGGCGTGTGTGCCTCTACGTGTTCTCGAATGTGCCAAACTGGTCAATACCCCACAATAGGAGTGCATAATGGCTCAAACCTAAAATCCTAATCAGTTTCTAACATTTTGTATTAATAACTTTTCACTGCTCTACTGATGAACCCTGCTCAACAGGCTGTGTTATCAACATCTCTGCTGGCACAACGAAGTACTGGACTCCAAAGTGTGAACCCACCAAGAAGCCTTTCCCGGGTCAGGTGTTTACTAGTTTGGAAGCTGCAATTCAGTTTTACCAAACTTACGCAAAGAGTACTGGGTTTGACGTGCATCGTGCATCCGATAAAAGGGACCGGCATGGAAAGATCACATGGAAGTATGTGTTGTGCTCACGTGCAGGCTTTAAACTTCCTACTGGCGAGGGGGATGGCGTAGGCATACTGACAACTGATCACAAGAACACAACTAAAAGGCGCCGTGTCACAAACAGAGTGGGGTGTAATGCAAAGATAGTATTCAAGAGATTAGATAGTGATAGTTTTGAGGTAAACTCAATCGAGGAACGCCACACTCATTCATTATGCACACCAATTTCTAGACCATTCATGAAGGCAAATAGAAAACTTGACCTTGGTCACCAAAATTTCATCATCAACTGCTCAAAGGCAAACATCGGGTCGTGCAAGAGCTTTACACTATACGAAGAGATGGTAGGAGGTTTTGAGAATGTTGGAGCTACAGTAACAGATTTTGGTAATTTCAAACGAGATATAATGGCATATATAGAAGACACAGATGCCCAACTAGTGATAGATAAGTATATGGAGAAGAAAAACGTGTCACCTGATTTCTATTTTGCCCACGATGTTGACGAGCTGGACCAACTGTGCCGAATATTTTGGGCAGATCCTCAGGCACGTCACAATTTCAAGCTATTCGGTGATACTATGTCATTCGACGCCACATACGGTACAAATAGGTAACCCCAACTATCTTCGCCACCTGTATGCTCTAATTTTTTCTGATACGCAAAAAATAATGTGTATGTATTTGTGGTGGTTGCTGTGTGCACCGTTGTAGATCATGGTGTGTACACTAAACCAGTGTGCATAGATGCACCCTGCAAGTGCCTAATGGGCACACAACTGCCTAATACCCTACTTGAAAACACCTCAGCTACAGAAGGCTACCAGGCACATGTGTGCCCACCAGGCACTCAGTGTGTGCCTCCCGTGTTACAAAAAACATATTAACATGCTATGCCTTTGTGTAGTACACTGTGTGCACATCCCTAGAATTTTCTGCTTTGTGGTTTTACCCTACTAAAACAAATAACTAACTACTAAAATTCTCCCACTCCTTGATTTGTTACCTGTAGGTACAAGTTGGTGTTTGTGCCATTCACCGGGGTTGACCACCACAAGAAGAGCGTGACATTTGCAGCAGGACTAATCGCCTGAGAACATGTGGACTCCTACACATGGCTGCTCGAACACTTCAAAAACGCAATGGGTAAAGTTCCAGCATGCACAGTTACCGACCAAGACCCCGCAATGAAAGCTGCAATAGCCAGAGTATTTGATACAACTCGCCACAGGTACTGCATGTGGCACATCATGACAAAGGTTTGCGAGAAAGTAGGGCCAACATTAGCTAAGAATGATGGATTATTAACAAGCTTAAACAACGTGGTTTGGAATGAGTTGCAAACAATTGAAGAATTTGAAACAGCCTGGCAAACAGTCATGGAGGACCATAATCTAGTTGAGCACAAATGGTTTAACCACTTGTTCGAGATACGTGCACAATGGATACCAGTAATCTTCAACGACGTGTTCATGGGTGGCTTACTCAGAACAACATCGAGGTCAGAGTCGGAGAATAGCGTATTCAGCAAATGCACTTCCCCCTATCTAAGTTTATTAGAGTTCTTCACAAAGTTCGAGAAAGCATATACATACATCGCCACTACCAATTGCAACTAAACGCAGAATGTGAGGGCAAATTCCCAGAGTTGAAAACACCATTACTGCTAGAGCGTCAAGCCGCCACAACGTATACCGTCGAAGTGTTTTATGATGTCCAAAAAGAAATAGTCGACGCGTGCTTCTCATCCCAATTTGTTACGAAAACAAATGAAGGATGCACCCAAAAATTTGATATAGAGGACACAAACAAGTCGACATATTCAGTGGAGTACAATTCAACCAACAGAACAGTACAATGCACATGCAAGATGTTCCATAGGATTGGGATACAGTGCAAACATGTGTTCTTGGCATTCAAGGCTGCAAATCTGGAGCGAATACCGAGCCAGTATATCTTACCACGATGGTCACGCAACACATGCTGGCCTCACACGCAGATCTACGCAAACACCGACCAGCATGGTTCGACCGAACACGTGGACGGGGCTACAAGAATGGGGACCGTATTTGATGAGTTCTTCAAGTGTGTTGGGTATGCATACGGTAATAACGACAAAATAAATGAGCTGGCACACCTACTAAAAGCACACAGAGAGAAATCAGCAGAAAGCATACCCCAGGACGAAACCAGAGCATCAAAAAGTGATATAATACGTGGCTTCTGTGGGGGCCACCTCATCACCAAACATCAAGGTTCACCCCCCTGCAATTGCTAAAAACAAGGGTTCCGGTAAGCGTTTCAAGTCAACAAAGGAGATTGCATCAACACTAGCAGCCAAGGGGGAAAGGAAGTGCCGGACATGCAACACATACGGACACCATGATAGTCGCAACTCGAGTTACGGACGAAGACCAAGTCATAAGTAGGATAACCGAACTGTGCACTTGAGACTAGGATCGTGTGCCAGACTAATGTACTGCCAATTATTTTCTTCACATTCTTTAATGATGTATTTGTGTACAGATAACTAGCTACCCACTCCATTTATCATAGCAATATATGTGTTCACATGAATCGATTAGTTCAATCTGTCTTAAATTAGCTATTGCAGACCGAGTCAATCGATTAAACAGTATGTGCACGTGAGAATAGACGTGTGTGCCATTCTGCCAAATGCAACCACCAACAATTGTTAATACTAGAACGTGTGCACAGGATACCAAACTTGTGTGCCATCACGTGCTGTATACTTGTAGCCACCCCCTAGGTGCACGCACAGTCAACAGTATGTGCCATTCTGGTCAGACCGTGCCAAAGCGGTCGTTAGGGCCAAAACTACAGTTGTTGTGCTATCGCGTAAAACTACGTGTGCCAGAGTGGTCAATATGACTGGCCAAAACAACCACCACTCATAAATGAAGAGTAAGCACCCAGAAAAATAGAAAATTCTATACGGGAACACTAATAAGGAACATATTCACCGTGCATACCCAAATGACCTAGGTTGATACGCTAATCAAGGAACAGAGATAATAGTGTGCATACGAGACTACACGTGGTGTGCCAATCTGCAAAATGCAACCACCAAGAAATGCTAATACTGTCTTGTGTGCACTGGATACCAAACTTGTGTGCCATAACGTGTTGTATAGTTGTAGCCACACCCTATGTGCACGCACATTCAACAGTATGTGCCATTTTGGTCAGACCGTGCCAAAGCAGCCGTTACGGCCAAAACTAAAGTTGTTGTGCTCTTGCACAAAACTACATGTGCCAGGGTGATCGGTCGGACTAGACAAAACAGCCACCACTCATAAATGAATAGTAAGCACCCAGAAAAAATAGAAAATTCCAATACGGAAACACTAATAAGGAACATATTCACCGCGCATACCCACACGACCGAGGCTGATACGCTAATCAAGGAACAGAGATAATAGTGTGCACACGAGAATACACCGGTGTGCCAATCTGCCAAATGCAACCACCAAGAATTGTTAATACTAGAACGTGTGCACTAAATACCATACTTGTGTGTCATCACGTGCTGTATAGTTGTAGCCACGCCCTATATGCACGCACATTCAACAGTATGTGCCATTCTGGTCAGACCGTGCCAAAGCGGCCGTTACGGCCAAAACTACAGTTGTTGTTCTCTTGCATAAAACTGCGTGTGCCAGAGTGATCGGTCGGACTGGCCAAAACAACCACCACTCATAAATGAAGAGTAAGCACCCAGAAAAATACAAAATTCTATACAAAAACACTAATAAGGAACATATTCACCGCGCATACCCATATGACCGAGGCTGATACGCTAATCAAGGAACAGAGATAATAGTGTGCACACGAGAACACACGTGTGTGCCAATATGCCAATTGCAACGACCAAGAATCGTTAATATTAGAACGTGTGCACTCGATACCAAACTTGTGTGCCATCACGACTGCTGAATAGTTGTAGCCATACCCTATGTGCATGCACATTCAACCGTATGTGTCATTCTGGTCACACCATGCTAAATCGATCATTACGGCCAAAACTATAGTTGTTGTGCTCTTGCGTAAACCTACATGTGCCAGGGTGGTCGGTACGACTGGACAAAAAAACCACCACTCATAAATGAAGAGCTAGGATGAAATGCTAATCAAGAAACAGAGATAATAGTGTGCACACAGGAATACATGTGTGTGCCATTCTGCCAAATGCAACTACCAAGAATGGTTAATACTAGCACGTGTGCACAAGAACACCAAATTGTGTGCCATTATGTGCTGTACAGTAGTAGCTATGCCCTGATTTGCACGCATGTTGGACAGTATGTGCCAGTATGTTTTGACTGAGCCACAACAGTTCTACAGAGCAAACTTTAGTTGGAATACACATGAGTTCAACTAATGTACAAGCATGAAGTGTTCTGACTAGTGCCATAGCACGGCTGGTGCACTCAAGCTCATGTGCACTGGGTTAACAATTTGTGTGCCGTCATGTATCGACAGAATCAACCAACACTCGTAACGGAAAAATAGACGCAGAAAAACAATATAAATTAAAATAGGCCACGGTAACAAAAAACATATTCACCGAACATAACCAAGTGAACTAAACTAAACTACTAATCAACTCGTTGCTAAGAAACATAAAGCATAAACTATCTTTGTTCGATTGGATCATGGTATTGGACTACACTCCGAATGTTCTTCGAATGGTGAGCATTAATCTCATTCGTCAAAATTTGCCGCATATAAGACATCCTCAACAACTCAAGACCCCTAGTATCACCCCTCTGTAGACCACAATCCCATGCATTCACCGATTGGCCCAAAAAAGACTCCATATGTCGCATTGCAAATATCCCACAATCCACTTTGTTACGAGGATCACGCCAGCGCATCTGCATCCTTCTCGGGATAATCCTCCTCACAACAGCCCCATATCGCAAATCAACCTCATCATCAAGGAACACAGACAACAAATCTTTCTGCAACCACAAAAAGAGCACAAAGAAACAAGGTTAACGTAATGATATGGATAAACCACCAACAGGGTCAAGACAAGTGTGCACACAGGTAGACACAGGTGTGCCATACTGTCCGAGCAGCCATCATAAGATATAGGTGTGCACTTACGAAAATATGTGTGAGCCGTATTGAACAGAATAGCGGGATAACCACCCACCATAATAAACATACAGTGTGCTGTGGGTGAAAAAAACAAATGACTAAAAACCACATACCAACACCTCAGGAGCCCCACCATACTTGTCCTCATTAGTCATGCTAACCGAGGAATTATCAATTATGTCAATTCGTTTCCGCACCATGTCCACACTAATAACATAGTAGTGACCACTTTGTAGAATCGGGAAAATAAACTGTACACGTGCAACATACGAAACAAACGACCATACTAACCAAAGACCGCTTATAAAACGCCAAATGAACATCAAATACAAAAAATTTAAACCAACAGTTTTGAATACCATGTCAACACCTTGCCACGACTCATGAGGAGACATCTTCAGTCCCATCTCCATCCTCTCATAGAACCAGTCTAACCGGCGTGCACGCGACTGAGTTCGTTCCACCACTGTATTGAGCTACAGAAATGGACAACAACACAGTAAAATTCTAACAGACATAGCTAAATACATTATATTTAACACAAAAGGCAAAAGGGAAAAAAGGGAAGATACTGTGGTTTGAATCCCAGCAAAAAGCCTCCGAGGAGAACCCTCAGGCCTATAAATCTCTCTAACGTTTAGAATGCAACACCAGACATCAATTACAGCAACCCGCAATTGAGACCCAACTGCCAAGGACAACATATCCTCACGTGTCGCAGCCCACCCAATGTAGTTGAATAGTTCCTCATGACTAAATTGAAACAGCAACACAACATTAATTTAAACACAACAAACACCATCAACTACCTAAAAATCGGAGGAACGAGAGGCATACATGTTAGCATGTGGGTGGCCCAGAACCCAATTGTAAAACACATGGTCCCCGAGGGGAGTTGGCAAATACCTAGACATCAAACTCGTACCACCATCTCGAACTACGACCCCAACTCCACGAGGACGCTTCA